GCTTAGGCTTAGGCTTAGGCTTAGGCTTAGGGCTTAGGCTTAGGCTTAGGCTTAGGCTTAGGCTTAGGCTTAGGCTTAGGCTTAGGCTTAGGCTTAGGCTTAGGCTTAGGCTTGGGCTTAGGCTTAGGCTTGACCAAAGCATCTTTCTCTAGCGCCTATACGCCAAACTAGTGGACCAGATGTGTCGCGAGTGGGCGGGCAGGAATCGGTTTGGGGTTAATATCCCCTAGCCACGCTTTTAGAAGTTTCCCTCCACAATTCTAAATCCCATTCGCAGCCCATTCTTCCCCCAGACAGCCCTCCATCAGACTACTAATAACACTTACCACGTGCTGTAAACCGCGACGCCCGCTCCTCCTTCCACCTTAAAAGCTTCCACAGCCAGAAGCTCATTCTCTTCTCCTCCTCCTCTAGTGGACTCGGTTCTAAAAATAGTTGGCGCCTGATGAGGCCAGATAAAAATAGAATTTTTTGCATTTATTAATGGAGGACAACAAAAAGGCATGAGCATTCCAATCTATTTTGAGATGGCCGAAAATTTTGCTAGGATACGTTTTGAAATGAAACGAAATGTCAGAAGATAAAGACAAAGCTACCGAAATCTACACAATTTAAGTTTGATAGCAGAAGTTGCCGGCTGTAAGACGAAATGGAAGATCCCCGGCAAAACAAATGTCAAAATCTAGGGTCCCGAAAATAGAGCCGAGAAGATGTGACTTCTTAATCCTTTTAAGACCTAGCGGGCGAGCACAAGAATGCAGAGAATTCGTGGCCCCAAAAATTCTGGGCTATTTTTGGAACCCATCAAAAATTCGTGGACCCTTGCAAAGCGACTGCCAGGAAACCGGCCGGCAACCCTACCCGACTTTCCCAAGCTGCCACAAAAATTAAGGCAAAATTTAGCGCCGCAAAATATTGCAATCACCGCGCTTAGGCGGAATTCGCGGAAAATGTATGTGCGGCGGGGCAGAATTTGCCGTGCATCAGACCCCCTATTATCATTCAGGAGTCTGGAAATAATAGTGAGAAAATGTGGACAATGCTATGCGTCCTTTTTGGAAAACATGTGGGATAATATTTTGTAACGTTGCGAAAAGGGCATATTTTTAAGCAAAATTTGGAGGTTGTTTTTGATGGTTATCAGCCTTATACAAAGAACTTGGGCCTAGGTTTGGGCTTGTTAGGCTTGGGCTTAGGTGGAGGCTTAGGCTCAGGCTCATGCTTCAGCTTAGGCTTGGGCTCAGGGCTTAGGCTTAGGCTTAGGCTTTGGCTTAGGCATAGGAAACGCTAAGGTTTGGGCTTCAGAAAACTCCGATCTTAGAGATATTTCGAGTGGTCAAAGCCATAACAATAGGACAAAAAAACTCAACTTAACGTTCTCAAAATCGAAATTCCTTGCCGACCTGGCCATTTGGGTGGCTGGATCTTGACTCAGATAGTCGGGGTAGGATGCGTAACCCGGGGAAAAGATGAATGGCCTTGATCGGGGGGATATGGATCCCCGGCAGTTATGTAGACGAAACGAAATATGGATCCGGGAACATCGGCCCAACACCCAATCGCCTCCATCGTAACCGGTTTTGCGGGTGGAAGTGTTGCAAGAGTGCATTTTTTCATTGTTTTTGGGGGATCATCATCTGCGAGCATCGGTATGGGCGGTGAGCATGCGGTGTAAGGGGGATCTGGAAACCATGAATTGGGGTCGTTTTGAAAGTACACGCGGGCTTGACGAATTCTTAATTTTTTCCTTTAAAAAGCTGCATATCATAACTTATAAAGGGCGGCCCCACTTAACATATTTTTTCGATTACATTAGTACCAGTTACATGACTCAGACACGCGCGAAAACAAGGAACATCGAAAAGTCTGGCACCCCCGGAAATATTGACCCTTTGCCAGCTTTTTAAGAGCACTGTGTGTGGCGGGGGTGGAAGGGACAACAAATTCTCTTAATCTAGTTCCGGGGTCGCCACCTGCGGCCCGCATATTCACGGGGTAATGAAAACAAGTGGAACATAAGCAGCACATAGCATATAGTACTGTAACATATTTAGACGGGACGCTGAAAAAGCTTATGTAAGCCGTAAGAGCCAGATTTTAGCTTTCAAAGCGTTATTTAATCAAAAGCTTATGATGTGTCTGCCGAACCAATAACCAATCTAGTTTTTCAAAAAGCACAGTAATGAGTACGGCGCGACCAAAAAGTCAAATTTACCCCTTACCGAAAAAAACAAAGCGCTAATGGGATCGGTGATGACGTTGACTTTTTGAATTCGCGAATGGAGAGAGAGAGAGAGCGAGAGAGAGAGAGCGAGAGATAGAGAGAGCGAGATAGAAACAACCGCAAGAGCTCTAGGAAATTATTTAAGGAAGCCTTGGTTTAACTTGGCAGGTGCTCAAGTTATTGGGTTTATCTCTATTTAGGCCTAGGTTCTGGGCTTAACCTTCCGCTTAGACCTTAGCAGATATTAAATCAAGAATTGATAGAAGAGTCAGATTTCGAAGATTATCAACCCTAAAACACATCCCAATTGGAAGCACAGCAAAAAGGCCCCTATCATGGCCATTCTATTCTAGGGAACGGAAATGGCATCACATAAAGGCAACGGGGGGCTGTTGCTCATCCGCCCCCCGGCTTCTTCTTCTGGTATTTGGCGGAAAGTGCGTGGGGACCGACCATCCTCCTCCCCCAGCCCACCGGCCGGGGGGAGGAGCGCAAAATAGAACACAGCATAAAAATCGGTGGGCGGAGCCCGGATCCGGCTCTTGGTAGGATTTATAGATTCATATTCTCTATTTGTTTAAGAATTTTCCAAGCCCCCCAAGGTTTCTAATTTCACGTAAAGATGTAGGTATATAGATGTAGTTGGAAAAGCACTGTAACGTAGCGTAACGCACGAAAAAGTAACGTAAGCAGAAAAACGTGCCTAACGCTATATTTCAGCTTGCCTTGGAAGTGGGGACAGGTATATTTTTATTAGCACGTAAGGGAAGAATAAGTCGTAGTTGTCAAACGTTTTACTGAAGTATGCCTAAGCCTAAGCCTAAGCCTAAGCTGAATCCCAAGCCTAAGGTTAGGCATGCGCTAACCCCTATTTCAAAGGCCGGTGGCAGCCAAAAATTTCGACACCATCCTCACAGTTTAATATCAAGATCCAACCATGTGGTACCACACCCAAAATTTAATATTCTGAGGGCCCCCGTGAGTCATCTATCTGATGATCAGCCGACAGTTGTTTGTCTCATTCTCATCCTCGTGCTAGTCTGAATAACTACATTCTCGCGATCCGCATTGCGAAATCGACATCGTGATCGGGCGTCTCGGGCTGAATATTCAACCCGGGCCGCCCCGATCATCTGATGCAACATGTGATCGGGGCCCGCGATATTGCCCCAAACGCATAATCGGTCCAATGTTTTTGGGGGATTCTGGGGTCCTGACGATGGTTTTCATTTGCATTAGACGGTATAAGCCTAGGCCTAATTGTAAGCCTAAACCTAAACCTAAACCTAAGCTTCAACCCAAGTGAAACTTAAGCCTAACCCAAGCTTAAATTCAAGCATAAGCCGAAGTCTAAGCACTAAAGTCAGCTTCTTACATATACAGCTCCAAAACTGTCGCGAGAACAATATGGCGACTTTTCTTCATCTGATGATGCTGAGATCGATTTTTCCGACCTTGTTCTAGCCCGATTATACCACTGGTTTGATTTCCTACGCTTCTTACGCCTTTAGGAGATTTACTAGATTCGGAAATCCATCAAAACAGACCTACAGTACCCTCAGATAGCTTTTATAGGTAGTGTGCCACGAAGCCAATCATCCTGGTCCGGTTTTCGAGGCCTTGCATCACCTCACATCACCATCAATTCTTGTGCCATATTTTTTGCCATCGAAAATCGACAAGCTGTCCCAGGACCTCCTCCCAATACTCTCCGCTCTACTGCATCGATCTTCGCAAAAAACCCACTGTTAGCCCTGCCATCGGCCAAGCGTCGATCCCAAAAGGCCCCACGTGCCTGCCTGAATCTCAATTTGGAATATTTTATCCAGGGGTAACTTCTCAGCATTGGTGCAGACCCTGCACGGTGCACACAAGCGATTATGATTCATGGGGCAATATGCTTCTGCCCCACTAGTTGGCCCTCCTCCCCACTGCCCATGTCGACGACAGATTTGATCGCTGCCTGGCCTGGGCGGGCCATTTCGGCAAGCGGGGTGTTCTGGGGTTGTCAAGGTATCTGCTTCATATCGATTTGGTTAGATACCGTGTACTGCCGTAACTCATGGTTTAAGGATATGTTTTCTCTCGTTCTCTCCCACTCTCCCCCGCTCTGACTATCACTCTTACTCTCACTCTCTCCCTCTCTCCCTCTCTCTCTCTCACTTGCTCTCTCCTACTCTCGCAACTTCACCGTTAAAAACGTGACTTCTGACCGCCTCTTTGTCCCGGAGTCCCATTACCATTCCCCCAAACGACTAACCATACTTACGAGCTACCGTACTCCTCACAACTTATGGGTATCATTAGGAGGTCTTTGGCCCCACATCACACCCATTCGTACCCCTCCGTACCTGGAAAATCATTGTTGCCAATTTGGAGCCCTGCCAGAACGATCATACCACCCGTTTCCTGACACCACATTTACTACGCTTAACCTATAAACTACATCCACTTCAATTCCCGCTTAAACCCGCCACAAACATTTGATCCCCAAAGAAAAGCTCATTGATTCGGAACGCATTCCTCGGGAGGCTAGATTGGTCCACGGGTGACTCACTTTGGCAACATTTAATCGACCTCCGTCGCTTCCTCCTTCTTACCCCCTCCCCATCTACCTTTCCGAGATACACCTCCGCACATTGATGTCCTTTTTGTTTTCCTTGGCTTTACGGGCGGGCGACACCGCCCATGATCTCCGCCCGCCTCGCACCACCACTTGCCATCCACACTTTTCGATTTCAGCCGCCGGTTCGCATTCTCCGAATATTGTGAGAAGATGGCCCGTGCCAGGCGTACCAACTTCCGCCCCGAATTCCTGGATGAGATGATGAAGATTGTGAATGATGGGAACCGGTGAGTGATTGGGAGGCATAGGCTTAGGCTTTGGCTTATGCTTAGAATTAGGTAGGGTTTAGGGTTAGGACAAGGCTTAGGCTCTGAAGTTTACTTCATCTACTTCTGAATTCCAGGCTCAACCGTCGCGCCGTCCACACGCAACCGACTGCCAGGTCCGAGCCAGTTTTGCCAGGTACCGTACTTCTGTCCTTCATCAAAACCTTCCCGCTTTATAGGAGTCTGGATCGAACCAGTATCAATTGCCCGCACTACTTCCGCGCCTTCTGAAGACATGGCAGCCAGGGCCCGCCTCGAGGTCGAAGAAGCCTTCCGGTTGCGCCTCCGCTCAAGGTAATAATTTGAGCTCAAGGAAGGGCTAGTGACATTGTTTTGTTCCGGCTGGCCGTTGCCACCCATTTAAAATGAAGTTTCGAATCTCTAAACGGAACTGAGCTTGACAACCAAAGTGCTTCTCGAATGCACTGTCACCTCAGACATACACAGGGCCCATTGAGTGCTGAAAACGAAGTCGTTGACAGCCGACTGAAAAGCAGGTGTCACGTGGTGGCTCCCGGCCAAGAGCGCTTCAAAACAACATCTTCGTCCTCCTCCGCACCACTCAGACTCCACAATGACGGGTAGAGTGATATCGGTCTGGGGAGGATCAGGCCATGTGCAGAATGGGGCCATTGTATTGGATGGAATCGACGGGATTGAATGGGTGTTGAGTGGATTCTGAAGGTGGCTAGCCGGAACGGGGGTGGGGGAAGTGTCTGGAGATGGACGAGGTCTAAGCCTAAGCCTAAGCATAAGCATAAATCTAAGCCTAAGCCTAAGCGTAAAGCTGAGCCTATGCACATACCTAGCTCTAATACCCCCATAGAAAAAAAAAGAAAAACCAAAAAACCTGGTTTTTATGAAACAAAGAAAGGAAAAAAAAAAAAAATTTTTTTTTTTTAAAAAAAAAAAAAAAAATTTAAAAAAAAAATTAAAAAAAATTTTAAAAATTAATTTTTATAATTAATTTTATTTTTTAAAAAAAAAAAAAAAAAAAATAAATTTTTTTAATTTTAATATTTTTTTTTTTTTTTTTTTTTTTTTTTTAAAATTTAAAATAATTAAAAAATTAAAAAAAAAAAATTATTTTTTTTTTTAATTTTTGTTTCTTTTGGAAAATTTTAAAAAAAATATAAAAAAAAAAAAAAAAATATAATAAAAAAAAATATAAAAAAAAAAATTTAATAAATAAAAAAAAAAAATAAAAAAAAAATATAAAAAAAAAAAATTTTTAGTTAAAAAAATAAATTATAAAAAAAATTAATAAAAAAAATAAAAAAATAAATTTTTAATTTTTTTTTCTGAATTTTTTTTTCCTTTTTTTTTTTAAATCCCTTTTTTCCCGCCTTTTTTTTTTTAATTTTTTTAATTTCCCGTAAAAATTTAATAAAGTTTAAAAAATATCATAATTTTAAAAATTTTTATATTTTTTTTTAATATTTTTTATTTTTTTTTTTTTTTTTTTTTTTAATAAATTTTTTTTTTATTTTTTTTTTTTTAATTTTTTTTTTTTTTTTTTTTAAATTTTTCTTTACCATAAAATAAATATAAATAAAGTTTTATTTTTATTTTTTTTTTTTTTATTATTATTTTTAATAAAAATAAAATATAAAAAAAATAAATAAATATTATTAAAATTATTAAATTAAAATTTTTTTTTTAATTTTTTCCTTAAAAACCCCCCACCCAACTCCCCCATTAACATTATTTTTAACCCAATTTTTTAAAATAAATAATTTTTTTTTTTTTAAAACCAACCCCCCAAAAAATAATCCATCCCCCCTCCCCCCTATTAACTATTTTTTTTTTTTTTTTTTTTTTTTTTAAACCTATTCTCCAGCCTACGCCTAGCCGAAGCCTAATCTTAAGCCTGGTCCTGAGCCTAAGCCAAAGCATTAGCTCAAGCCTAAAAACCTATCAGAACCTTCTTTACCGCTGTCCAACAAACCATTCGCCGGACATCATTCCCAAAACTCCCTGTTCCATTTCCGGTTGGGTGCATGCCCCCATCGCATGAACTACGTGCCGATGGTCCCATTTACATGTTGCACAGATCACCCTTTGGCGCCAGCTGCTCCCAACTCATCGAAACTGTTCCTCCGCCCCCTGGCTCTGACTCATCACCACCTTGTGAACCCAACTCCACGCTAGAGGTTCATAAAAACGGGCCCTCGTCTCAGATCCACGCTGGCATGGGGAATATGCCAGGTGAGCATGGGGAGATGCCAATTTTGGGGCTAGTAAATCGGGATCAGGACGGAGTCAGGGACGTTCTGAAATATACACATCATCGTAGGCTAGGATTAGGCTTAGGCTTAGCTTTGGGCTTCGGATTAGGCTTACAATTAGGCTTGGGCTTAGGCTTTACGGACTAGACGCCTTGTCTGGTTCTTTCTAGACCTTCCAGACTGCCCCCCTGTACACCCCGATCCCACAAAAAACAACATGTTTTCTACCCAACTCTATGCTCTCTCCCCGTTCGCACGTACTGTTTATCGTCTCGAGGGCACCGTTACGGGCATGAATACTAATCAAACGACCCGAGGACAATATTTACGACAGCACCTCGAGCCCGAGGTGCTACGTGAGGTCGTGTGAATTTGCTTAATGGAGACCAATGGATGTACCGGGTCTCATTTTGGGGTCATCTGAATGGTGGCCATCCATTAGGCGAGCCGTCACAACATCTGGGATAAGATTTTGAAGCTGTTGATGGTCTGACTGGAGGGTTAAATGAAAATTGGGAAACGTGAAAGTTGAAATAAATCAAAAATAGAGAAATAAATAAATCTTAAACCTCATGAAACTTAAGTATTTGTTTATTTCCAGTTGCGCCGAGGTCTACGAGCGACGAAAAATGCTACGTCAAAGCAAGGCGGCCAAACATATGGCGCTGATCAGCATCGGGAATGCTAGGTAGATCACTGATTTTCTGCTTGAAAAGCCGCTTCTGCTGATGTGCTAAATTATAAGAAAACCTTTCTAGTTTCAGCCTGTCGCTCCCAGAGTGTGCTGAAGTTCCGGAAGATCTTGAGAATGATGTTTTCATTGACGAGAAGCCTGAGGAAAAGGAGAACTTTGAGGATGACCTCGAGATCATCGAGGAGCAGGAGAAGTTGGAGAGCGAGCAGGCGATGACAATGACGGTGCCGAAGCGTAGTAGGTTTTTTAAAGCTGCTTGGGACTGTTACTAGGGTTAGGCTTAGGCCTAAGCTTAGGCCTAGCCTCATTTATAGTGATTAGTTTTTATATATACTCTAATTTTAGGACGCTCTTTCCAAGAGATTTGCGCCCGTGTCATTGGAATGCTGCGTCGTCGCGCCAGCTCACATGGCCGCAAATGATTTTTTTCCCAGTAACGTAGTGAAGCGGAATTCACTGAATTTGCCATACTTAACATTTTAAATACCTTTTAACAACAGTAGTACCTGAAGCCACTTTTCTTCTACTTTTCCTGCTCCCTAAAAGTCTCGTTAACGTTTCAAGAAATTTCAAGAAACTAAAAAACAATTGGACCTTCACTTCATTGCCACATTCTTAACCTAATCGTCATACTTCTGGACTTTTTGCCACTATTATTGCATTTCGTCTTATTATTCGACTTTTCCCCTTGTGTTCCTTCCTAAAAGACATTCCTCCGCATATTACACATACGGTAAAACCAGTATTGCCTTGCCATTTCCACGGTTTATGATATCTCCGGTGTTTCGACTGTCTTCGGTTTCGGGCTATGTTTTTATTTGAAATGTCCACTTATATTCTTGACTACTATATGTATTTGCACCATGACCCCGGCCACGCACGCTTGATCTCTAGCGACCCCCACGACCCGCATTCCATATACATAGTACCTAGTAGCAATGACAATGAATAAAGTATTGCACCATTATAAATAAATTATTTTATTGCACCCCAGAGTACTGTAAATTACGGGAATATAAAAAAACGCAAAATGTCGCAAAAAATTCTCACAAAGAATTTATTTTAAACTTTAAAAAATTTAACTTTAAAAGTGGCGAAAATCGATTTTCGTATCTAATTTGGACTGCGTAAACGATCGCAAAGGTAGTATCGCATTGAAATCTACGAAAAATTGAGATTACAGGAATTATTTGTAACCACTAAAAATATGATGTATACATAGGAGCCACGCGTTGTCAAGGCCTGGACCACAACGGAGCTCCTTAAAACGCTCTTTTTCCGTACGCTCCCCACATTTTCTTTTCTTTCCTGAAATAGTTTCTTGGTATTTATTTTCCCTTCTCATAACCACCCATCTCAACCCTGCCCGGGTCCCGCAGCGCCCCCCTGACTACGGGGCCCCCCTGCCCCCGATGGCCGTCTCCCTAATCCAGTGCCCTTTCCCCCTCTCGCCGTTATCGAACGAGCCATGTGCCCTTCTTCTCTCTTTTGGCCCCGTTTGGCCCTCGGGAATCTCACTCCGATGGGGCCCTCACTTCCTCCTTATTATTCGCCGGATTTGGCCGCTACCCGATACTTTATTCCCATGCTGACTCATACATAGTTGGTTAGTGGCCCCGCGCATCCAAATTGGGCGTCGTGGGGGCCTTTTTGAGAGTCATAAGTTTCTCAGGGGGATTTTGTCTTCACATACTTTTTGATCGAAATGTGTATCCAATTCCTAAAGTATGTCTTTAAAAAGTTATTAAAGTACTTTTTACAAAAATATTAGGATCAAAATATCGATTTCCTTTTGCAAGAAATGTCCTTTATTCCAGCACCTGGCAGAATTCACGAAAAACTGATCCCTCGTTTCAAGAAACTATTTTTATGATACCACCGTTTCCCTTCCCCAGAATCAATTCCTGGCGTGAAATAGGCATTAGTAATCTTTTGGTCATGAGGCCAGAAAAAATCCTCTGGGACCCTGATTCGTTGTATTGTAATCTGCCGGATTAGAGCCAAATTTGGACCCACTGAGTCACTTGTTATCGGATTTGTAGTATGCAAAAATGGGCGATTGGCCCCGAATCCGAATAATCAGCCGAAGCCACGCGCATTGACGCCCTCGGGGAAATTGGCCTCGTTTGGGGCAAAATAGAATCCGGAGTGACTCTGAAAGTTTTCTACCTCCTTTCCTTGAGAAAAGGTCTTGTTCTGCCGATTCCATTCAGATACATTATTTCTTTAATTTTTCAAAATTGTTCTTTCTCGTTTTACATCTTTTATTCTTTAAGTTGAGGCGTTTTTGTTAATTTTTCTTAAGAAATTTCCATTTTTCAGATTCCTATGGCCGTCAACCGGCCTATGGGGCTCAATTTTATTGATCTCCCCATCGGCCCGCCCCATTTCGCCAATGATTCACAATTGTAAGATACGAAAAACCACTTTAACGCTATTTTTAGGTCTTTCAATACGGGTAAACTCCAATTTCCGGACTCGGCACGGGAATACGATTTCACCGCCGATGACCTGCAGGTGGGTGCTACTGCTACTGCTACTGCTGCAGCTTCAGAACGCTACAAAATTTTGAATTCTTAAAAACTATTAGAAATTTAAATAAACTGCACCCTCAAAGCTTAAAAAACCACTTTCAGGACGAGGGCCAGATAGGACGGGGAAACTTCGGGACAGTGAACCGTATGGTACACCGCGATTCGGGTCATGTGCTAGCTGTTAAGGTATTTTAAACTATATATGTGGAGCCGATGATTAAAAAAACGTTCTTAAACCAAATAATTGTTAGAATCGAGTGCCAAAGCTTAAAAAGTGAATCAGCATCTTGCGCGCAGAGGCAGAACGCTCAAAGGAGCCTGCGGTAGCTGATTTTTATGACATAACGCGCCTAAAGACACGCGCTCTTTTCGGACAAATAATCTATCTTTGAGATTTAATAAAATACGTAACAATTTCAGCGAATCCGCTCTACCACAGTACAACCGGAAGAGCGGAGGCGATTGCTCCGAGAGCTCGAAACTGTTATGGCGGCCAACAGCTGCGAGAATATTGTCCGCTTCTTCGGAGCTGTCTTCTTCGAGGTAAGGATACAAATTTGGAGTACTAAATGAATCATAAAATATAAATTCTACTTTTCAGGGCGACTGTTGGCTATGTATGGAGCTGTTGGACATCTCCTTGGACACCCTGTATAAAAATGTCTATAAAAACGGGTTCCGGCTGCCGGAAGATATGCTGGGTTATATTGCGGTTGCGGTAAGTTGGTATTTAAGAACGGGTTGATCAGATTTTCTAGACTATTTCGGCGCTCAGCTACTTACGGACTTCGTTGCGGATGATTCATAGAGGTAACCCAGTTTAAAAATTATACAAAAACCAAAAATGTAGGATTTTAGTTTACCCTTTAAAGCTAATTATCCTTTTGTTTAGATGTAAAGCCCTCCAATATTTTGCTGGACCAGCGGGGGATGATCAAGCTTTGCGATTTCGGCATTGCCGGCGAGCTGGTCGACTCGATTGCCAAGACGCAGGAAGTCGGCTGTAAACCCTATATGGCGGTAGGTTACGGTAGATTTACAAATATCGTAAAAACAAAAAGATTGACGTAAATTTTTGTAGCCGGAACGCCTGAGCCCCACCCCTGCCCCGTACGGCGTCCAATCTGACGTGTGGAGCCTCGGCATCACCCTCCACGAAGTCGCCATGGGCAAATTCCCCTACTCCAGCTGGAACACCATCTTCGAGCAGGTTCGTAGAGCGTTACAAAAGAATACCATTTACCCTTAACGGGCACTAAAAGAAAGAAAAAGCATATCCTACTATATATAAAAAAATAGTGTCTGTGTGTGTGTGTGTGCCACTTTGCATGCAACTTCCGTCAGGTTGTTCCTGTCGTATCTCAAGAAGGAGAGTAGTTAGGGGCATGTTTGATACGTCATTAGGAGCGTAATGGTCTGGAGATGACTGCACGCATATCAGATACAGTCCACGTCATAATGATAGGTTCACCCCATTTTAGGACAGCTTGTTAATCTAGAATAAGTTTCGGATAAAACGGGCGTTGTAAACAGTTAGGGCATAGCTCAAAATCTTCAAAGCGAGTATCCGTTTGGTTCGAAAAGGCTTCTAGATTTTGAAGGAATTTTATCTCAAAATAGGCTTACTGGAACCCGCGTCATAAAGATAGGTTCACCCCGAATTTTTCTGCAAAAATCATGCATTCGGATTTTACTTATATTTTCAATTAAGTAGCATTGACGTGTACATGAGTTTCCTATACTTGGTTTGACTCGAAAGGTTTCAGGGAATTTTTTGCAAAAGTCGATTTTAACAAAGAAATCACACTTTTTTAGGATTATCCGGCGATAGTCGTTGTAAATTTTTAGTATGTAGGCGGTATCACAAAGTGCACTTAATGACGGGCATTTTGGTATATAAGCGGCTATAGGAACTTAGGTGTTCACGAAGATACAGGTCTAGAAACATTGAGCCTACTCGGGCCCATACTAAATGGTCGCCAATCCTTACCTGCGCAGTCCATCCCAACTTCCTTCGTGTGTGTCACCCCATTATCGCCGAAGCCAAAGACGTTGTTATTAGAGATGTTACGCATACGAATACGATGTGCTACTTCCGGCAGATTAGCCCGATATGCATATCTGATTTGAGATAGAATGCCGGTAATTCGAATACGACGATCGTATTCGAACAAGCCTCGGCTGATTCCGACGTGGTGATCTGGCAAGTCGGCTTCACGTCGGGATAAAAAGCTAATTTCAAATTGAAGACGAAATGCTATGCAAATATCAAAATATTGACACATCCACCGGAAATGACCGAGAAATTGGCACCTAAATCTATTCAAATTATGCATATTCTGACTACTTGTTTCCATTTTCCGACCGTTTTCTTCGTAATATTGCTTTGCATCCCAATTAGCTTATTATCCCGATGTGACCCGTTTAAACGAATACGAACGTCGCATTCGCTTGGTTCCGACCCTAATTCGAATACGATGATCGGGTCGGAAATAAGAAATCTTTGATTCCGACGGCCTATTCGAATACGACGCGTAACTCCCATGTCGTATTCGTATTCGTAACATCTCTAGTTGTTATATACCAAAATGCTTGTCTTGAGCTGCTCTTTCAAGTCCATAGAAGGAACTTGCGCTTCCGGTTAAATCCAGCCCGTATTGCCACAAAAATAGTAATTTCTTTGTTAAAATCGACTTTTGCAAAAAATTCCCTGAAACCTTGCGAGTCAAACCAAGTATAGGAAACTCATGTACACTTCAATGCTACTTAATTGAAAATATAAGTAAAATCCGAATGCATGATTTTTGCAGAAAAATTCGGGGTGAACCTATCTTTATGACGCGGGTTCCAGTAAGCCTATTTTGAGATAAAATTCCTTAAAAATCTAGAAGCCTTTTCGAACCAAACGGATACTCGCTTTGAAGATTTTGAGCTATGCCCTAACTGTTGACAACGCCCGTTTTATCCGAAACTTATTCTAGATTAACAAGCTGTCCTAAAATGGGGTGAACCTATCATTATGACGTGGACTGTATATCAAAATCCCTTATTTTCGACATTAAATTTTGGTATACCTAAAATTAGACGAAGGAAAAAGTAAAATGAAAAATAAGAAGCTCAACAACCATTTCAGGTCGAACAAGTTGTCCACGGCGACGTGCCGATGCTGCTCGTCAACACCCCAGAGAATTTTTCTATCGAATTAGTTCAATTTTGCAATTCTTGGTGAGTAATTTCTGGTTTGAGACCTATTTAAAACCATATAAAATTCAAGATTGGGGAGTATCTTTCGTATTACCACCTTATTTTCAGCCTCATCAAAGACAAAGACCATCGCCCCCGGTATCACGATTTGATGGGCATGGCATTCTACCGGAAATACGACCTGCACGGCGAGCAGCTGGCCGCCGCCCGGCAGCACATCGGCACATTCGTGGCCCAGTTTATCACAAAACCCTCATGACCTTTCAAAATGACGCGCTAGCGCTTTCTGCGAAATAAAGATTCGATTGCTCGGCGTTGGAATTATTAATGGCACTTTTATCGGCGGGAAAATTTTTTTTATTAATCTGGAAGTGCCTATTAATATAACTATTAATACAAAATAAATATTTTCATAATGTTTTTAGTAAAATAAAACTATATTTTAACTCGAAAAACTATCTAAAAACTTTCAACATTTTTCAAAAACGAAATTTTATCAAGAAAAACGGTTATTTTTGGTCGAAATATCGATATTTTTTGTAAAGTTTTACGTTTAGGGATGTTAAAAACAATTTAGAAACACTTCCGCTATTTATCTTTAAAAAATTCATTCCTATGAAAAAAATTTCTTCCCTCCCCCCCCCCCGATAATGCGAAAGAACCAAAAATATATCTAACCATTTTGAAGATATTTAATTTTGCAAAACGTTTCGTAAACAATAAATTTTAAAACGTTTTTTTCAAAAATTAATAATTATATAAAAATTTAAAATTTTAAAAATTAAATTTGATTTTACTGCAAAAACAGCTGTGAATCCGCCTAACTGAGCCACTTGCTTCCTAAAGTGCGTCCTGGCACCGTAGTCCTGATCCAGTATTTACCGCCAAAAGCAACCTTTTAAAAATGACCAACGACCAAAAACACGCATTAAAACTTTTATTTTCATCTTCTAAACTATTTCTGATTGATGTCGAGCTCTGGATTCGCCGTATTTATCAGGTTTGCATGAACATATTCCTATAAAGCTTTTTTTTCTGTTTAGCGATTGCTCCAAGCGCGTAGAATCCGGGCCCAGCGAAGAGCATTTTCACTATTTTTCCGAGTATGTGAATTTTAGCACTTTATAACAGTTTTTTTAGACTACTGGCCCTGCACGATCAATTTTTTGGCGAAAAATGTCCGGAAGTCATGAAGCGGACAGCGAGCAGCTTCATCACAATGTATGGCAACAACCCGAAATTCAAGGAGGATCCGAAGCTCGCGTTTGCGTACTATTTGATGGTAATTTGCTTTGGATATCGGCTGATTTCTTTTCTTTTAGGGTCGATACTCGAGGAGTATGAGTGTCGATCAGGTGATGAGGACGCTGTATGACAATGTGTGTTTGGCTTCAAAATAACTATCATTCTTTTTAGGGTCGCTTCCGCAAAGCCGCAATTTTCTACGAACTTTGGATTGGGCATCTACTCGAGGATAGCAAGCGAAAAGACGCGCAGGCTAGGAGTCGAAAAATTATTTTATCTCTGTTTTAGGATGTCTTGGGTCTTGCCCGAAAAAATGGCGCGCAACCCGCAAAGCTGATTGAGAAGATCGCTGCCCGCCTACTAGCGCCATCACCGTGCGTTGCTACAACGAAATACGTTAAATACATTTTCTTTATAGTATTTTGAAGAATCTGGCTCCGCCTTCGGAGAAGAAGCCACAAACCGAGAGGACGAGGTACGCTTTTTTGCATTTTGTCAAAATTTGGCCTAGGAGCAGCTCGCACATCACCGCATCTGTTCGAAAATCGCTGTCCACGCCGCCGCCGGCCAAGTAAGTTTTTTATAGTTGTCTTTTGCTGTTGAAGTAGAAGCCTTTCATCAAATGTTTGTTTCAGCGAGTTGAAAACTCCGAAAGGGACGCCGAAACACACTCCCTACTTTACGCCGAAGACGAGCAAAGGCGTCGCGTCGATTCCGCAGAGGATCGAGATTTCGAAGCAAACGCAGAAAGATGCCAACAAAGGGCCGGATGTAGCACTCGAATCGAAGACGCCCACTTTCCCAACTGCAACAAATCTCCAACCCGACAACATGAGAGTGCAGCTTCACGCGACAAATTTGCCCGAGACAAGACCATTTTTCCACCATCGCTCGCATACTTCAAAGCACCTGGTACGCTTTGGTTTACTCATCGTAAAAAGGCTTTTAGGACACTTCTGGGCTGCGGGATAGCTCCGATCCGTTGAAGGAGTTTGCTGACGAAAAAGAGGTAGCGCGCACTTTTTGTTTATGATAATGCACCGTCTAGAACTCGAGCGAGGAACACTTTGTCCCCGGGGACGAGGCGCTCGGGCTGCTGGTAATGATGCCCGAAGAACACGAAGGGCGAAGGATGTCCGGCTTTCAACTTCGGAGAAAGTCGCTGGCCGGAAAGGGCAAGAATGGGCGCAGCTTTGCAGAGGTAAATACATAAATGCAAAAGATAACCGTTTATTTCGCCGATTTTTCGTTTCGGCGATTTTTCGCATTCTACTAGGCTTTTTAGTAATTTAAGTAAAAAATCATGTACAGTAGAGCAAAATTTAGTTAGTTAGCATCCCCACCACTCAATCTGGATCTTCTGTCGGTCTTCCATACTAGTCTTTTCGAAAAGGTGTTCAGGTAAAAATTTTGTCGAAAATTGATCAAAATTAAATTAGCAAGCATGAGCTAAAATCGGCGAGACTAAAATCCTCGAAATGATTAAATCATGAATACAATATAATGTTAATTTTCAGAAATCAATGAACATGGCGAAGAAGCCGGCCACGCACCACGATCTCCAGAAGGCCATAGACGACCTTTGCCTCAACGGGCCGTCCTCAACATCTACCTGGAAGGCGGAGCCACAGAAGAACCCGTTCAAGCTATGATTATTTTGCAAGTTTCCAGTTTGCCTAGCGTGTACATATATACCAAATAAATATATTCATTCGTGTACAAACATTTGGATAATGACGATAGGATTTTGGCATGTTTTCAAAAATGTCGTGCTCTTCGGCGAGGCGGAAGTGCAGGGTTGCTGAGATCAAGCGGGTCTCTCGGTTGCTCGTTTCCGCGGCGCATCACCACTAAATTTTAGAGGCTTTAGGAGAAGTAATCTTGCTGTGATACCGGCATCAACGACCATCTCCAGATTCTCGGCGTACTGTGTAGCGTAACGGCCGTCGTGTAGCTTTGGAGCGATTTGGACGTAGTACGTCTCGCCCATGTGCAGTTGTCGCAAATGGTAGCTCTTCTGAAATTTATTTTTAGGCTCAGTGTCGATTATAAATTCACCACTGCAGTCCCGTCGATATCAACGCGCTTCCACTGATCAATGGGAGCCTCTTTATGATGAGTGTAGAGGAGAAGCGAGCCTATTAACAGGTTTTCACCTATATTTTCGCTATTAAAAGAAATTTTACGCTATTATATTGAATTTAACTTTGAAAAGTAACCCAGTATCATTTTCCAGTCCCGTTGCTCTTACCTGTAACCAGATGACGCAGATATTCCGGAAAGGTCCACGACAGTATCACTTCTCCCGGCGCAACATTCATATATGACAGCATGTTAGCATCAGCATCCCCTCTTTGATCGCTTCCTGTTTTTCGGGCATTTTTTAGAAAACTGACAAGTGCGGGTGGGGATGAGTGACATCTTTATTTAGGGACCCGAACGGGATGGGAAAGATGAAGAACGGGGGGTGGATATGTGCAGCAAAGTTCAGTGCAAGAACGGGTTCGTGCGTGGGTAGGGTCGGTGTGACAAGTGTCGCCAATCTAAAAGTTATAGTTTATATGTATTTTATATTTTTGAAGAACTTTTTAAGGGTTACGGCTATGTGGTATAATTTACCGTATAATTAAGAAAATAGCTTGCTTCCTGTTCCTTTAAAATAAGGTTTTCGACATAAATGCCTATCGCATTAATTTCCAGCGCATTCTTCAGCTTTTAAGTTTTCTAAGTCAGACAAAATTGGCTTTTTTCATTATCCAATTTATCCTTTTTGCCTTTTCATGCTATGTTTAATTAATATAATTTAAGGTGCGCCACTAATTCGTCTACATGTTGCCACTTCTCCTCACTCACCGACGGTCGTGAATTTATAAGTGGTAGGTGATTTTACAACCCTTCCGTCCCTCATCCTAACGTCGATTTTGACGTAGTAGCTCGTTGTAGATTGTAGTCCTAAATTGATATTTCCTTGCTGCCAATTAATACAAACCATTACCTGGAATAGCCAGGTTCCCTTCAACATTCTCGACGTACAGCCGACGCCAGGTGTGCGTTGGAGCGTTCTAAATTTTCAAATTATTCTAAAACTTTAGTGCATTTTGAGCTTCCGGTTAAGCTAATTATTTTCTTTGTTTTCCGCGAAATATAGCGTGACCAGATCGGATTCAAGATTTTTGGGGTTTGAACGTCCAGCTGGAAGTTCTGGTCCCACCGTTTTGCCGAAAACTATAGTTTGATTGTCGGTTTAGTTGTCCTAAGATTTTCCTAGAAACTCTACGCATTAGCTATCAATTTTATGCACGTACCTGATCCTCATTCAGATACACATCATAGCCGACAACTTGAGACTTGTCGATTTCACTAAGGTATGAATAGATTATGTATAAAAATGACTATAATTAGCTCGAAATTGTAATAAAAAGTGATATAAATTAGTATAGTCGTTTAATAGGATTACCTTTTCAACAGCCACTGGATCTGGATGCTGTTGACGTCATGCGAGGACAGGATGTCGACTTTGTCGATCGGGTTGTAGTCTACTAAAAATTTGAGCGAATTCTTCATGCTGATATTCGATTTTAACGTATTTTTCTTTAAAATCTGAGCTTTAACTTAGTACGTTCCTGTACTCTGAACAACTTGTCAGGATATTGGCCGGAACAGTTTTGCCAATATTGACGGAGGCTCTCAAGGAGCCGTTGCGACCGAGTGTGAACAAGCGGCGGCTATCTGGGAACCTGGGAGGTCCGAAATTTCACATCCTCATAGTTTTCCGGCTCCGAATCAAATTTTCAACTATTATTAAAGGAAGTTTTTCTAAGATGTATTTTACTATCCCCAAACGTAAACTTCTCAAATTTTTATGAATAATTACAAAAATCTCCATTTTTCGACCAAGAATGGCCGTTTTTGAATAAATTTTTTTGAATGGTTTTTCTAGGTAAAATATGGTTTTATTTTATGAACAATATTAAGAAAATACTTCCTATTAAATTACCAGGCATTTCTTGATTCATACAAAAATGTGCCCCCCCCCGATAATTCGAAAGAACCCTGAATTTTTCGGCTACATAGTTCGTCAGCTTAAAGCTTTAATTAAAAAAACTGGGCTTTTCGAACTTTCTTGCACCTTAAAAACGAGCTATTGCTTTTCTCCCGTTGATGACTAAAAAAATCCATCCCTCCAGCTCAACCCTCGCTCCAGATTTTGCAAAAAATAACTCCCCCAGCACGTCGTCGAAGAATACTTCCGGCGAACGAGCGCCATCGCCTCGATTGTGTTGTGCTGCAGCGGCCTTGCGCAATTAACGCGCAAGTTTTTCGAGCCATCCGCCCCCCGCGGGGATATGCGCTTTTTGCGCGGCAGCGCGGCTTCCCGGGCCGCGCGTAGGGGGCCTAATGGCGTTCTCTCCCTCCTCGACTGTTTTTGCGTTCCCCACCTAGAATGCCACCCCACTCCCGGGAATTTGACTAATCAAATGGGCAGACTGGGGAAGAAGCTTTTTAAGCGCATCCCCGTGGTGTGGACAATTTTGATTCTTCAAGGTCAAAAAGCCGGTTCAATTTGTTAGCCGTGGTTGTAGATCGCGCTGAACGTCATTTCCCGCAACCGTAACCCGGATCTCCTTTACAAACTGCTAAACGTTTGAGAGCTCGAATTTCGACGTAGACTTACTAGGGAAGTGCAAATAAAAAACCCAGCAAACCGCTTAGCAAAAATATGGGTCTGATAGAGTCGGCGACGGGGATTCCGAAATTTTTGCTAGGCGGTTTGCTGGGTTTTTTATTTGCACTTCCCTAGTTAGGCCTAGGATTAGGCTTAGGTACGCTCAGGCTTAGGGATAGGCATGGGCTTAGGCTTAAGCGTGGACTTTGGCTTAGGCTTAGGCGTTGGCTTAGGATTAGGCTTAGGCATGGGCTTAGGCATAGGCTTACGCTTAGGCTTACCCTAGGATTAGAGTTGAGCTTGCCGGGTAAGCCAATTTTTCTCCAATAATTTGCGTGCGTGCGAACCTACAACGAAATCAAGACCATTTTCTAGAATTTTACAATGTAGTTAGGTATAAAAAGGCACATCAAACATTTCGAAGTTTTTTTGAGTTTTTGGAAAAAATTAGTATAGTAGACATTACTAGATTGGTATTTTCTAAAACATAACAATCCAGGCGTTTCTAAATAATTTGACCGCCGTTAAAACTCGGCCCAAAATAGAAACTACGTGTTTTCATCCCTCACTGATCCGAATGATTTCCCCACCAACTCCTCACGTCATCCCCAAAACTTTTCAATACGCCACTCACCGATAATTTCTTTTTTTCGGGTTTCAGTCGTGTCTTCACGCTAAGAATCTCGCTTCCGTCACAGCACAACCAATTTCCCTAATACCATTTCGGACGCATTCCCTATGCACATCTTTTCGCGCTCCCCCTACCGTATTCCTCCAGCTATTGAGCGCAATTTTCTGCTCTGTCTTTTGAGCTTTTGTTCTGAACGCTTTTGGATAGGTTTTGACTTGGTAATCGCTTGGAATCGACACAAACCTTGCGGAGTTCTGAAGGAAAATTGGGCACTCTCGCTAATCAGCCCGCTGTCGAGCTGGGTCTTGATCTCGAGCTCATATTCTGTGTTGCTGCAAGCAGTTTGGGTTTTGGAGGGTTTTCAAGGGGTAAATTGACCTGGTCAAATCGTCGAGGCTGGCGAAGGGGCGCTCGCCACCGAATTTCACTTGTTGCCAATGTTGGGCGCCTTTTTGACGGTATTTAATGTTGTAGTCTAAAAGCGGAAATTGTGTAAGAATCCGAAACTTTTATTTTGGAGGCAGAGCTTTGAGTAAGACAGTAATATTTAGAAACTTCGCCAAATAAGGCAAAATTGGCATTTTCGAGGAGCACCAGATCACAAAACGCTCTCTAAAATGACTTTACTTCCTTTGGTTTTCTTCGATCTTTAGGCCTGGACTTGATAGGCTTAGCCTTACGCTGAGGTAAGGCTTAGGCTTAGGCATAGTTTTAGCCGGGCTTAACCTGGGCTTAGGCTAGAAAAACACAGCATTCGAAGCCTATTCTAGTTTTGTGTTTGCACCATAACCGTTTAGATATCATTTCGGAAGTCAAATCGTCTAGAAAACCATTTTTTCCAAATTGTCTAGATTCCGGATCTAGCTTTTTGTTAGCAATCCATTCAGCAAAAAATTTAACTAGAGCCAATTAAAGTTCGATTTTAAGCTATACATAACTCCTACGTTTCCAAAAATAATAATCTCGATTTTTTGGGCATAATTCCTGAATTTCTTCCTGGCTTGTTTTCACTCCCAGGCACCGGTCACCAGCAGCCTCCTACCCAAAGAAATCTGTTCTGAGAAAATTGTCGAAATCCGATCCCCCTTCGGGGTACCCCACGCGGATTGATATTATGCAAACCCACGAGGGGTGGATTCCCGGGCGCGTTGTCACTAAAATATTGGGCCCACCGGGTGCCCAATTTTGGGTCCAAATGAAGCGCGCCGCGCGCTTTTTGCGTATGGCCAACGCTTCCAAATCTCGCAGCCCGCGCGGAGTAGGGCGATATTAAACTTGCGAAAGGTTTGCAATACCCATAGACTCGACCGTTGTTTGTGTTTTTGATGTTTTGAGCGCTGTTTTTGCTTCAAAACTTGCTGTTTTTCTGCACTCGGCTTGTAAAAATGGGCGATTTAGTCTTTCTGGTTCCTTTGGAGTGGCTAGGTTAAGCTTGGGCTTAGCTTATGCTTTGGTTAAGGCCTAGGCTTAGGCTTAGGTTTCGGTTTCGGTTTAGGCCTAGGCTTGGGCTTGGGCTTGGTTTTAGGGTTCGGCTTAGCTTTCGATGTCGGCTTAGGTTTGAGTACACTCAAAAATTCTTACCTCGAATCCGATTTCGCATCTGCTGAGGAACCGTCCAAGTCAAATTGACAGTACCCCGGCCGTCTTGCAGGAAACTTGAGTGGATCATCAAGTTGCCGATTTCGAAATAGTCGTCTTCTGAAAATTCAGTTCTGTGCATAAAGCCTCCTGTTAGATATTGACGCTACGGATTCCATGTAAATGCTTAGAGCAAATCGTGTGATCAAGATGTCTTACGGCCCTAAAATTGCTTTTTTTTTAATAAAAAGCATAAGTTTCAACTTGAATCCCTTCCTGCATAAACTCTAGTCAAACTCTTCCTTTCCCTATGTACACACAAAAAAACATCCGCCCTTCCGGCACTCTACGGATTTGCAACAATCCGCTCTCCCTGTCCTTCTCCCCCGGCCTAAAGCCTAATTTTGCCTTTTTTGCCGTGCCCATCCAGGGTCACCGGCTATCTAATTATCGGCGGGCCGTGTGCATTCCTAGAGAAGACGCAACAAGACACGGATTGGAGAAGGGGGCCAATTCGGAAGCACCAAGGGGAATGGCCCGAGAGCACGAACACGAGATGCACTAACTCCAAGTAAGGGCTGGGCATAGATTGCAACAAGTCAGAAAGTGTCAGTGGGGTTAGAATTCCGCCTACCGTAGGCCGAAAATTTATCTGGGACTCTCTCTCACGCTCTCTCTCTCCCTCTCTCTCGACCTCTCTGTCTTTCTCTCTCTCTCAGTCTCTCTCCCACTCTCTGTCGCTCTCGTTCTATCTCTCTCGCTCTCTCGCTCTCGCTCTCGCTCTTTCTCTATCTCCTTCTCGCTCGCTCTTTCACTTTCTCTCTCTCTCTCTCTCTCTCTCTCTCTCTCTCTCTCTCTCGCTCTCTCTCGGTATGTCTCTCTCCATCTATCTCGCTCTCTCCCAATTTTTACTTGCAACCTCAAGCTCACTTCCCTCCTCTAGACATCTTGCTCGAATCCTCCACAAAACCCAAAAACAATGCTTGTTTGCCCAAAAATACCCGACTCCCCGCCGACTAGCCATCAACATGAAATAATTTATTTGGGGCCCCGCATCCGGTAAGGCTAAAATTTCTCCCGGCGCTGCAGCGCGCGTTTTCATTCCCCGGGCAACATCATATTAATTTTATTTGGCTTGGGATTCGCGCAAACCGGCGAAAATAAACTGGATGAGTTATGGGATGAGCTGAGCCGACAGTTTCAGGGCTTGCTGACGCGCGAGGGCTTTTTCTAGTTTTTTTTCTTGCGCGGTGCAGGGAAGAATTGAGGGAGACTTAACGGGATTAGGAAGGACGTGGAGCTTGTGCTCGGTTTTTGGAGAATTTTCGAGAACCTTTAGCTGCAGCTTTTGGCCTTTTTAGAGAAAAGAATTAGGCATACTCTAGGGCTTAGGCTCCGCTTCGCCTTGGCTTGGTTTGGCTTAGACTGGGCTTAGACTTAGGCTTAGGCTTAGGCTTAGGTTTTCGCATAGGCTTAAGCTTCCTTTCCCCCTCCCTCCAACAACATCACAAGTTCTCGTCCTCCACAACAAGAGCGCAAGATCCCCAAGGTCTGATTCTCCGAAGCGTTCGTGGATCAGGTATTCAATGTATGATGTTGCCAACACTGCCCCCTTTTGCCCGATACGCACCTAGCAAAAGGTGCCCCGCGTCTCTATGAAAAGCTCGTAAATAGGGTTAGGCGTGGAGGCGTCGGGGCCTTGAATCGAATAGATACGCGGAACACACCCCTTGCGTCTAATATCCCTTTCCTGGTCCGAGGGGTAAATATTGAATTTCACTGAGTGATAGCTTAAGAACGCTTTGCACTCCGTACGGTCGATAGCTCCAGATCTCCATTTGATCCGAATTCGGGCTTTCGAAAAGACTTACCCCTGGGCATGCTGATGTCCACAATCGCAGCAGTATGGGAGATTTTTGAGGGTACAGCGCTCCTTACGGCCAACTCGTACCGTGCACCACCCTCTAGGCCGCCCAGCTCGAAACTGGTGGCAGCTGTTTTTATCTGAAACGGCGTGTTTTGCAACTAACCAGAATATTTTAGCATTAAAAATTCCGTGACTCCCTTTCTCTCTCTCTCGCCCTCTCGCTCTCTATTTCTCTCCCCTACTCTCTCTCTCTTTCTCTCTCGCTCTCTCGCTCGCTCTCTCTCTCTCTCTCTCTCTCTCTCTCGCGCTCTCCCTCTTTCTCTTTATTATTTTATTTTTGAACTCTTCCACTTCCGCATCTCCCTAAAAATATATTTTCGCGTGCCTCCAGTGTGCATTGAACTCCCAGAAAAAGTGTCCTAAAGAACACCGGACCTACCTCAACGCCGAGACGACCGGGAAATTTTCACCCTTTATGCTCAGGGAGAATTTTCAGAATCGTTAAGGTGCTCATTCAACCTGGGTGCGCAAAAACAGCCTCCCAGCCTTCCCGGGAAACCCTCTACGCGCGGCCATATTTTCGACCAATTTGGTCTCAGAGTTGGGAGCGTTCTTTAGACCTTTACTCCGGCGCGTAAGAGAAGAGTTTCGCGGCTTTGAATAGAATTCTAGCTAAAAAAGCATAAAGGACGAGTCAGGCGATCAAAAAGGCTGAAGAAACTCTCTCCCTCTCTCCCCCGCTCTCTCTCCCTCGCTCTCTCTCTCTCTCTTTCGCTCTCTCTCGGTCTCTCTCGCTCTCTGGCCTTTTCATGGTTTCTTTCTCGTGCTCTCTCGCTCTCTCACTCTCTCGCCTTTTCTCGGTATTTCTTTCACTCTCTCCCTCTCTCTCGCAAGCCTAACAAGTTAATTTTTGCTAATTTTTTTTCACAATTTTTCCTTGTTTTTCAACCTGCAAAAACCCAATTTCACCGCGTACACCCACCCCCAAAAAAATTCATCCGATGTGTCTGTGGTTTGGGCGTGGGGCGTCACTGCGGAAAAATGAGAGCCATTCCGCATAGCCGATGGCATAAAGAATGGGCTTTTCGGCAAGAAAACCCCCCAATTTCGGTCTGTACCCGGGTTTCCCGCGTACAGCCTATGATTATCATTTCCAAAGACGCGGGTATTGTCCGGGAAATTTTTTGGAGGTACTGTATTGGGGGGAGAATGGTTTTTCGATGAGACGGGCATTTTCTGTTTGTTATTTTCTTAATGCTGAAAGCTACTGTGCCCTTTCCTAATTATAGCAAATGCTTTTGAAGCTGCCTCGTTTTTCCTTAATTTATCGCCTCCCACGCATCGCCTTGCAATTAATTTACATCTTTGGCCACTCCTGCTCGGGAAGGATGTGGACGCATAGCTTATTCTAGCATGTTCGCTAGCACTCTCTCTCTCTCTCTCTCTCTCGCTCTCTCTATCTCGCTCTCACAACTAGATGAATTGAATGCAGCTTTTGAGCGACTGAACCTCAAACGTACGTACATTTTTTATAACTCGAATTTTTTACAAGAATTGGGGTTTTTAATATATATAATAGCGAAATAGCAAATATAGCGCTTTTCCTTTTCTTGACGAAACATCCAGAGATTGATGCCCAGCCCCTCCATTAGAGCCCCAAATTTTGCATAACTGGATTACAGTGCCCGGATTCCGGATTCGATCCGTTCTCGAAATTGGTTTCAAACCCCAGCCGTCTCTCGCAAACGAATAGATTTGCACCCCGTACGATTCTTCAAATTTGACGAATCGAGGAGGGGGAAAAGACAAATTTCCGGCGTCTTATAATTAATTCAAGGCCGGATTCTGGTCGAATGCTTGCTCCGTAATTCCACCGGGCCTGCTTAAAAGTTGCGGAAGGGGAAGAAGTGTATATGACCTTGTTTCTAGAAATTTTGTGGTTTTTTTTGCATAGCTTTTTTTAATCCTTTTATCTTTTTTAACTGTCTAAACCACACCTGCTGTCTATGCAGTGGCACCCCACTTCTCGAAGTCGTCTGCTTGACGTGTACCAGGTAGAAGATGCCTGAAAATTAGCATAGACTTCTATAAGCCGAGGTAAAATGACGCCCAGGCAAATCCGGGGGGAATCCCCGCAACCCGCTGCGCGAGCTCAACAGCTCAGATTACGTGATCATTGAGCTTTATGCATTCGTTAAGATGCCCCGAATATGCCCCGCGCAGCTTCCGCTGGGGTCTTTATTGTTGCTACGCGTTCCCAAAATATCAGCATATTCCAGTTCCGTGGGAATCCGTTTTGACCTTTTCTGTCAATGCGGTGCGGACATTCTCATCACCATCAGTTTCCAAAGACCTTCGAGGTCAGCTCTAGCCTTTGGAAATTATTAATGCGCCAAAGTAAGTAATTTTTCTGAAACGATCCTTTTAAAATCGTCCTCACATCGAAAAGATATGACTTTTACATCTCTAAATCATTACTTGGATCTTGCCCAGCCGGCTCCCACTCCAGTTTGACGGCATGTGGGTCCTTGATGGTCGCCTTGAAGTTGAGAGGGGGTAGAAGCTGCTCGTCCGTCACTCGAACGCCTTGGATACTTGTCTAAAATGTCGTACTCCAAAATCCCAATAATTTTGAACCTTTTGGTGTACGGTAATCAACAACGGGTCGCTCCAGTGGTCATTCGTTCGCTCGTCGGTGCGGACCTAAAATGTGCTGCCCGCTTTTGCTTTGCTCGCATTAGGCTTAGGCTTAGGCTTATGATCTGGCGTGGGCTTAGGCTTATGCGTAGGCTTAGGCTTCGGCTTATGATTATGTTAGACTTAGGCTTAGCGTTAGACTTAAGCTTAGGCTTAGACTTAAGCTTATGCGTAGCCTTAGGTTAGGCGTAGGCTAAGCCTTAACCTCGATGTCGTCTATTCCTTCATCCGCTCATGTTTTTTAGTTTCCTCGGTTTTTGAACCTCTTCTAAAAACAAGCAATTCACCGGCCGCATAAACGGACATCTCCCCCCTCCCCGTGCGGAAATGGGCACATGACGGCGCTTTCGTGACCAAGCTCCGGGGAGGATGGTTAGCCCGTCGTCCCGGGTATTCGAAGCCACGGCCCATCCAGGCCCCCCACGGAACGCCGCGTTTTATGGTCCAATTCACGGGTAATATGCGGGGTTGGTTGGATGGGGAGAGGAGAACGAGGAGGAAGAAGAAGCGGATGCGGCCGAGCCACGGCCACACGTGTTCCCACACAACCACCAGCTAAAACCGGGATCATGGGCGCACAGATGCGATTCATTTGTTCGACAAGAGGCATGGTAGCATCGTTAGTTTCGGGGATGAGTTGGAGGGTGGTTAGGCTTCACTAACTATTAGGTTCATCTCGTAGTCTTTTATTTAAGAAGCCTCAGCCTATGACTAAGCCCAAATCTAAGCCTCTGCATAAGCACAGATCTAAGCCTCTGCAGAAGCCTCAATCTAGGCCGAAGCATAAGCCCAAGCCTAAGGCTAAGCTTGAGCCTAGAGCTAAGCCAAGCCTACCCCTATGCAACCGTATGTCTATGCCTATACCGCGGTTTATGCGATGTTTAAACCTAAGTCTAAGCCTAACTTTAAGGCCAAGCCTACCTCTAATTCTACCTGACCTAGTAGATGATCTGAACGTCATTAATCTACGGCAATTTGCCATTTATTAACCTTCTTTCCAAAGTTTAACCATGCGCTAACCCGTATTTTTCACCCCGAAGCGGAAATGCCAAACCCATGTAATCGGCGGCCATCATGTTGGTCGCGTCGCCCAATCCCAATCCCTCCGAACATGTGCAGCCTTATGGACTTTCTTTTGATCCCCCAAAAAATCCGTTCCCATTCCCCGGAAGCCATGCCTTGACCGCGAAAAGCCTCCATAATTTGGTCTTTCAATTTTGCAAGCCTTTCGAGATTCCCAAATCATAATTATTGCCTAGCGCGCGAAGTACAAATAATTAGAGGGGAGGCAGCGAATTCGCGAATTTCGTTAATCGTCACTCACTGCAAATTCTTCAATTACTGTAGGATCAGCTAGAGAATGAATTTTCTTTTCGGTAGGCAGAACACAGAATCCCCGCCATCGCATATTTTCATGGAATTATCGTCCGCATTATTTTCGAGGGGTTTTTTTTTGTCACGTCTGGGGAGGGGACATCACGAAAAATTCGGGGCCCCCCCAAGTAAAATAGGCGAAAAGCGGAAGATTATGTGTCTAGCGGGGCAGATTTGGAACATCGTTTCCGAACTTTTGAGCTGCCCTCCCCCACCCACCTGTAGTTCAATTTGTTCGTTGTTGTGCAGGGCGGGAAGGGCGAGACGTTGGCTGGGGCCACGGCTTCGTTGATAGGTCCAGCCATCGGTGCCGATTTCTTTGTAGCGGATCAGGAAGGGGATGTCTGGAGGGGGGGAGTGCGATTACGGTAGTTCGTATACTTTTTATTATTACGGCTTGTTTCTGGCTACAAAAAAGCAAAGTACTTTAAACTACTACTAAACTTCTGAATATAGGCTGTCAGATATTCTTTTTTGGGGCTGTGCTTGCACGCATGCTTAGGCTTAAGCTAGGTTAGGCTTAGACTTAGGCTCGGGTTTGGGCTATGGTGTAAGCTTAGGCTCAGGCTTCTGCTTGGGCTTAGGCTTAGGCTTGGGCACAGCTTTTACTAAATGTTTCGTTCCAACCATATATCAATGACATTTCCGTCCCTTCTCCCCTCTGCTAAAGTGCGCTGAGAAACAGACTTCGTCGGCTCAAAAAGGCTGACAAAAATGCCAGCTCCTACTCGTACTTCTAAAGATCTAAGCAAAAACCACCCAAGTTTTTTTCATTGTCATAGTTCACCCGCCACCCGGAAATCCCGCCATTTGCGCCGGCATTCTCATCTTTGAATTTTGTAGGGCTTCCCCCATGAGAGCTTGACTTTTTTCGACCTTTCCCGGTTGTTTACCTGACCAACAACCTGCCACACGTCTTCCTCGGACAAAGCTAAAAAATCTCTGATGCCCTCTCGGCAAACAATAATCCCCTCCTCGGGCCGTACCGGATCTCATTTGGCCTTTGGGGCGTTGCGTATTTGTCCTTTGAAGTTAGCCTTTATTTTATTATCTTATTTAGTCAGTTTTTTGTTTATTTTTTGGCTAAAAATTCAAGTAATTCCACCCACCTTGACGATGTGGGTGGAGCCTCCAGCGGACGAGAATGGAGCCGTCGGCCGGGTCGAGGCTAAAAACCTGGGAATTCCGGGGGGTTGCTTGGCGTCATGGCGCCTGGAAATTGTCAGAATCGAAAAGTAATGGCTTCTCAAGGTTTATAAAGGTTTTCGGCGTTAGGGTCCGGATTTCCGGTCAAACTTGAACCTTTCTATATTTTTTACTCCATAAACTTTCTAAAATCCCTACCTAGCATTCAGCTCTTCTATCCGCTCATGTGGCTGAGCATCGGATAACTAAAAATGTGGTTTTTACGTTAGATTTAATATCGAGAATTTCTGAATATTATTCAAAATGACTTAGAAGTGCTATGGTTCAAGGGACAGGTACGGATGCGCAACACACAACGCGCGCTAGCTATTCCATTGCGTAAACGAATAGCCTCTTTTTACGGCCGCCTGGATCCGCCTTGCGTTGCGTTGCGCGTCGCCTTTGCCTCGCTTTGCGTATAGCGTTGCTTGCCGGGTTACTATGTAGTCGCGTTTCGTACGGCAAAATCGAACTGGTGCATAGTCATCACTTGGCCATCCCTTTAGATGAGTATTGCCCTAAGCTTGGCCTTTTAGGGTCACCATCCCGTAAAAATCCAAAAAACAGCCCGCTCTCCTTTTTCCCTTATTACATGCTGGTGCAGCCCCTTTGCAATAACTCCAAAAACTGCGCGTTCTTTGCCTGAATCATTATACCAAAACCCTGCTGAATGACTCAAAGGATTAGACATTCCCAACATGTAGCTAATTGGCTCAAAAAGCAGTTCCCGGATGATGCCCCCGGTCCTCTTAATTAGCTTGAGCTCAAGATGAGGAACGGGGCCTACCCATCCCTCGCCCTCCCATTCCCACAGGAAGGATGAGCTACTCCCCCCGACTCACCGCCAATAGTAATATGATTGTGATGCTCCGCATGGCGATGGCCATCTTTATTTTGGCCTCGGCTGGTTCCTTTCCGGCTCTTAGCGTTGTTATGCGCTGAATTTTTTTGTTATGTTTGTAATTTCGGGATCGGTGAGTCATAAAGGAGCTCGTAGGGGAGGAACGCAAATGGGTGCACTTTGGAACATCGGTCTTCGGAGAGATTTGATGAGAAATAAGGCATGATTGAAGAAATTAAAAATACTTCCGATCATAGTTCACCATTATGGTTTTGAATGTTTTGACGAAGCTAATGCAGGCTTAAGCAAGCCCAACAAAGCCTAAACCTAACGCCTAATTCTAAGCATAAGCCTAAAGCCTAAGCCTAAGCGTTACCATGCCTAAGCGTAAGCTTAAGCCTAAGCCCAAGCCTTTCCTAAGTCTAAGGTAAGCCCAAGCCTAACCCAAGCCTAAGCATAAGCCGTACCAAAGCCGTGCCTAAGTCTAGGATAAGCCCAAACCGAAGCCTAGGCAAACCACCAAAAACCAGAATAAATCTGTCTTCGGCTATCATTAGCGAGTTTGTCGAGGCAAATATATTTCCAAATAGTTCCTTTTTGCAATAGAATTATCAGCGCAGTTGACACTTTTCCAACGATTTAAGATTTAATTTCAAGTAAAAGAAGATCTGAATATTATGGGATAGAGGGGAAAGTTGCTGCATATTCCGAGCCAAATCATCCCAAACTGAAACTCTTACGTCGTCAGCGATCCCTTAAAGTGCTTTATCGGTGACGGGTGCCGCGAGGCGGTACAGACTTGCCCTAAGGGCCCTTCAAGCCCTTTCACAAACTTCGAATTATCACCCCCCAGCTGATAACCTCAGCAAGGGGGATGCCCTAATCGGAATTCCGGCAATGTCAACAGGGGCGTGATGCGGAACGTTTCGAGAGCTCAGTGTTGGTGTTGGGATAAGCTCAAAGGGGTGATTGGCGTGGATTATAGGGTAAATCCGTAAAATTATACAAAATACCTATACGATAAAATTAAAATCCTGTTGCTTTTGGCAAGGTCTAAGCCTAAGCCGAAACATAAGCCGAAGCCCATGCCCAAGCCTAACCTAAGCCCAAGCTTAAGCCTAGTTGGCAATTTTTGGCACAAAGATATATTTTTTAAGTTTATAATGACATTTCGTAAAGTTTTTATGCTTAGTGATAGTATAAAACATTTCCTTTAATTATGTTCAAATTCTTAGGAAAAAAATTTGTCCCGCCCACCCCGATTTTGCAAAAGTACCACGATCCCATTTTGCTAAAATCAAAGTGAGCCCATTAGCCCATTTCGCTAGATTCGAATTTTTAATTTTGCATGCTTTTCATATGGTTCTTTGGTCCCCCATACTCCAATCTATTTTCCTGAAAATTATAAAAACCCACACTTTCCTCAAACATATAAGCTCCTCGAAAAACCTCTGAAAAACTCTAGCGCCGAGGTCACCCGCCCCGTTTTTCCTCAGGATTTCGTGAAAAGCCTTGCCCGAAAATCCGCTCCTCCAACTTGATGCCTCGAAGACGCCCTCTACATTACAAAATGTTTTGTATTCAATTGGGCGGCCCTAGTTCCTGTTTTGACCTCGGATCCGATGAGAATTTTCCCAGGGTTCCCCCAAAAAATAATTACCCGGTTGTTGAGCGTCGGGCCTGCCGGGGGAAAGGTTGTGTTTTTCGGGTATTTGATCGGTCGTTTGTCACTAATCGTGCGTGGGAAATGATTTTGGACGCGATTAGGGAATGTAAAAATTGGGGCGAGTTTCTCAGAGATCTTTGTGCTTTTCGTATCTTGAGGTATTAGACCCAAGCTTGGGTTTAGGCTTAGGCTTAGGCTTAGGCTTAGGCTAAGGGTTGCGCATTCAGGGACGTAGCGTAAGGTGGCCCCCCGAAATCGGCCGGGGCCCGAAAATTTCATAAGGGGGGACTCTTATGATTTTTATTTTCCCAAAAATTTTGCCGCCTGCGGCGCTATTTTTACACGTTTTTACTGCTATTTGTAGAGCTATGTAGCCTTTTTTTCCAAAATTTTTCGCCTGCGACGCTTTTTCTCGTTAATTTTTTGAGTTTTCGAAAAATTTTCGGCCCCCGAAATTTTTTTCTGGCTACGCCCCTGTGCGCATTTATCCTCAATTTTTACGAATTCCGCATCCCTGTAAAGCCCTGCTTGCTTTCTTCAGAAAGCAGCGTTGGCTCCAGCTATCCTCATCCTCGATTTGCGACAGAACTTCTTCACCTTCCAAAATTCTGAAGCACCCCCCTCTCGGCGTGGAACTTGTGGGGCTGGTGGTTGCGAGCGGCTGTTGGTTCTGTTCTCAAATTTCACTGCTCCTAATGAATTAGCAAGAACCCTGAGGAGGCGCTCCTCGCCGAGCCGTTCTCCTGCTCACCGGCTGAGGCCCATTTCTGCACGGAACTTCTGGAGTTTTCATCTCAAGAACCTCAATTTTTCGTCGTCATTTCTGCTGAAAAATTTTTTAGCTTTAATTGAACCGATCATTTGCAATTTTACAAAGCTTTAGCTACCTGGCCCGGATTTATGAAATCTACGTAAATATCTTAATCGCGCCTTTGATAAAAACCTTCATCTACCACCGCCGTGGGCCACGAAGCTTTCCCCCACCTCCAGCTCGACATGGCCATTCCCAGACGAAATCCCCCAGCAAACATCCGCTTTCTAGGTTTTGCAAGCGTCCTGGCTCCTGGCTTTTTGCCAAAAAGGAGCAGCAGCAGTTTGAGGTCAAACTTTTGACGCATCCCCAAATTCCGCTTGCATTAATTGCGTCCAAAAACCGAGAAACTGGCTTCCGGATTAGGGCGCAAAAAGCCAAGCCGCCCCTGTAACTTATTAACAATTGTCTCGCCCTTTGTGGTGAAAAGACTGGATTTGCATTGGTGTTCGTGGGGGGACTACGTCTATGGAATTTTCTCTGTAAGTTGGATGGTGCATGATAGAAATTATTTCGTTTTTTTGGGCATGATGGAAGATACTTCACTTCTTCCGTGTCATAAGGGTCTTTGCTAGATGAATTTTTCGGCGATAATCTAAAATTGTTGACAAAACACTATATATACAGGTTTTTTCGCGTTTTCTATTACACTTGGTTTATTTTTAGCGAGCGTGGAAACTCCTCTCAATTGTTTCGATGAATTTTCTATAGAATTTTGTGAAGAAGATAGTCCATCATACTATCCAAATTCTTCTATTTAATGTTTTTGGAGGCGGCCATCTCCCCCCTCCTCTTGAGACCCTTGAGGGGCATGGTTGTTTTTGATGCCACCAGGAATTGGGCTGCTCGGTCATTGCGTGAAATTTGTCGAAATTGGCCCATTTCTTTCAATAGATTTTTTAGTTTAGTTAAAATCAAATGCTGAAAAAAATGGGATTTGATCATTTATTATGGGTTTCTAAATTAGGTTAGGCTTAGCTTAGGCTTATGCTTAGGCTTAGGCCTAAGCTTAGGAATATACTTAGGGTTAAGCTTAGACTAAGTATAGGCTTAGGCATCGGGTTAGGCTTATGCTGAGGCTTAGGCTTAGGCTTAGGCTTAGTAATTCACACGAAATCAAATCAAAATTCCCTTCTTCTTTCCTTCTTCGAACTTCCCGCTTTCCCTTCCCCTCGAAGCGCTTATAAACCACGCGATACTCCAGAAGAAGTCACCCTGGTGAAAAACGAAACTTTGTGCCCCGGATAGAAATGGAGGGGAGGCCATCGATACGCCATAAGAGAAGCGTGGGAACTGGGGGGAATAAACGTAAAATGGTCGGAGTGGGTCCTGAATGGGCCATTCGCCACATTATCCACCCCTTCAATAAGTTGATTTTGGGATTTAATATTTTTTTGTGAAAAACTAATTTGATGTGGCGTTTTTGTGTCGCGCTGGTCTTCCGTCGATTATTGACAAATGCATTAGAATCTTATCTCGTCCTCTTAATTTAGATTTTGGGATTTTTTGCCTAAAACATATCTTAAGTTGTTACCTAAGAAATTCATAAAACAAAAGTAATCAAAAAAAGCCACAAGCTATCTCTCTCTTTCTCACTTTCTCTCTCGCTCGCTTGAATCAAATCAATACACTGCACTGGTCAAAAGCCGACGCCACTTCTATCGATCGTAACTGCAATGATTTTTTAGAATCGAAACCCCGCCAAATATTTAAAAGTTTTAATTATACCCATTTTGGGTCCTCCAGAACCCGCTCGCATATTTGTTTACCTTTCAATCACATGCGCTGCTCGCCGCCGGGGCGCGTCGTCTGGCCGGTGGTCATTTTTGATGTCTACTAGCTTGAACTTTTGAAAACTTATAGTGTGGTGAGCTACTAGATTTTAAGTAGAAAAGTACTTGAAAGTGTTAGCTCGTTTGTATCAGGCTTCCCGCTAATTGAAATTCAGCACTGTGCCGATTTTCGGGGACAACAGCTGAATCGATGGGGCGTCTACGGGAAGTGACGACCGACCACAAGAAACGACACAAGACAAGGGACTGATAGAATCGGACACGGAGATTCCGAATCTGTAATCAGAATTTGCTAAATAAAACGGAGAAAAAAGTTATGAAGCGTCAAAGTTGGTAAAATCGCCCAAAATCGGACTTTATGGGCCGTAAAGGCCAGGGAATGGAAATTGCCACAACCCATAGTGCATCTTGTTCAGCAGAAAAGCGCTTCGAATGAGCATTTACTTTAAGTTTACGATGATTTCGCGAAAACCTTCATGAATTTAACAGGCCAACCCTGCCCGTGAATCAAAAACTTTTAGTGATGTTTGCAAATGCTACGTATTACAGCTCGTTCGAAAGCGCTTTTCTGCTGAACAAGATGCCTAATTCTTTCTCCTCAATTCCGTTCCCCGGTTTTACGGGCCGTAAAGGTACCGGTTTGGCGATTGGCCAACTTGATGCTTCATAACTTCTCCGTTTTATTTAGCAAATTCTGATTACAGATTCGGAATCCCCGTGTCCAATTCTATCAGATCCACTATGTCTCGTGTCGATTTCTCGTGGGCCGGTCGTGCACTTCCCTTGTTAGTTTTCTAACAATAAGCTACGCACAAACACTAGTTACTTACATGGTAGAATACAAAGCTTTTATAAATCTTCCAACTCTAGTATTTTTCTCGTTTTTTGCATTTTCAATTTATAAATATTTTTTTGTAGTCTGCAACTCTCTCAGATTTTGACGTGAAGGCTTTGATCCTCCAATTTCAGCTTAAAAAACTGCGAAGTTCCACCTGCTATTACCCAATTTTTTAAGGGCTTTTTGTTTATTTGTCGTATTTTATTCGTTCTAAATCTGTGTATTTTTGTAGTCCTCAATTCCCCTCAAATTTCGACGGGAAACCCTTCGAGCCCCCAATTTCAACCCACAAAACTCGGGTTTTTTGTTCCTGCGATTCTTTTCCGGCTTCTCGATTTTGCTCGTCTCAATGATCAGTGCCATCGAGACCCCATCTAACAACATAAACCCCCGTTTCAGAAGGGCGGCGTCTCCGATGGAGGGCGGCTCAAACGGGACGTCTGCTGGGGCTGTAGGGGCAGAGCCGGAGGCCATACTGATGGAGCCGACCACCTCTGAGATTATTGAAATGCTCTACCAGCTGACGTTCTTTATGATAGGCACGCCGCTGAATGTCTGGGCGTTTATGCGGACAAATAGGTGGGTCTGGGACGCTTAATCGAAGTGGCTGAAGTTTAATCTAAGCCCAAGCTCTAGCCTAAGCCTAAACCATGCGATTGCTAAGCCTAATCGGCCCATGTCAGAATTTAAGCGTCAAAAACCCCGAAATAGTAAAATCCCAACATGCAAAAACCGTCTAACACGCAACATCTACTTTTTTAGACATATCCGAGCAGGCGGAGTAGAATCTCGTCTCGTTCGACTCAGTCGGCAACTTCTAATCGCCCACATCATCGTGCTGTTCGTCTACGGTGTCTGGAGGAGCTACTGGTTCTTCAACATCGTTTGGGTGCAGGGTATGTAGAAAATTTGACATAGTAGTGCTCCGTAAATTTTTAGACCCGAGTAGCCATTCGTGATCGCAACTTTTTCAGGCGACTTCCTATGCAAATTCTTCTCCTTCTGCTGCGCCTTGCCTTTTCACCTGTGGTCCAATATGGTAGCGGCAATAGCTGTTGATATGCTTTGCTGTATCACGTAAGTTATGGATTGTGGGAGAGGGGGGGAAAGGGGGGGGGGGGGGGGGGGAGAGAGCGAGAGATGCGAGAAAAAGGTAGAGAACGGCCTTTCATAAATTACGAAGCCATTCCCTGCGGCACTCTTAATTTTAAGACATTAATGAAAAACATTTCCCTCCTCAAGTGTTTCGTAAACTTGTACAGAACGGGGAGACAAATTCGGCGCTGAACATCCAGTCACAGCATTAGTCAATGTGGAGGCGGTCGTCTGATCCGCTGACCGCCCAGCCACCGGATTATGCGATTATTTGTAGCGATTAGCCGACTCGGGTGGCGTCAGGGTCAATTAGCATAGAAAGTAGGCATTAAAAGGGCAAACCCAAAAGTAGCGCAGTAAACGGTATATTTTCGTCTATTTTCAGAAGCCCGCTGAGCAGCTACCGTAACGGGGCCAATCGGGTGTCCTGGCTAATCGCGATGGCCTGGATACTGTCGATTATCTGCGCGGCGCCGATGTTGATTTTGAGGTAATGCTTGTCGACATTTATATATGGAAATTCCGAGTACCGAACAACTCATGATATTTCGATATTTGGGATAAGATTGCTGGGATTTACAGGCAGACCTGTTTAGGGAAAAAGTTCAGCAGCTATTCAAATTTTATAGTCCAAATATTTCAGGGGAACCGTCAAAATCTCCGATCAAGAAGATGCCCTCGAGCAGTGCTATCCATTGATAGGGGTAAGCCATATTCCACTCTAATTTCACAATTTCCCAGGTGTACTCCCATGAAGTGCTGGTCGTGTTCAACCTCTTCCACGTCATCACCACCTTCTACGTTCCCCTAATCGTGGTCGTAGTGTGCTACTCACTCATCGGCCTCTCACTCAAGAAGCAGGCACGCCCCAGCATCACCAAGACCAAAATTTCTCTCTTGTTGTCAGCGCCCCGAATTTGCTAAAAATGGGCTGGCATCCACCCCGTTAATTGTTATTCGTTGGTGCGTAGCGGTCGTGAAATTTTTGAAATTGGATTTTGCGGCTAAAAAGCGATCATTGAACCTGGGGGAGACTAACAAACGTTTCAGATCAACGAAAGAAAATTGCTGCAAGACGGGGCTGATCAAAAACGCGGCTACCGCCAATCGACAACAAAAGCCCGATTCCTGCGGGCGAGTCTGGCGATCATTTGCACATTCTTTTTCACTTGGCTGCCGTATCAGGTAAAAGAAAGAGAGTTGGGCTTCAGGGTCAATTTTTAGGTGCTTGCCCTCCTCCGGGTCATCTGTGACGATCATGAGATCTGCCAGGCCATCACTGGCAAGCTGAACTGGCTGCAAGCCATCATTATAGCTAGGTAAGCAAAAAATAAAGACATCGGAATGATAAGGCAGAATCACGGTCATAATACCGACAGCGAAAAGACCGATCGCGAAAATCCTGACACTTGGCGATAGCTTGAATGCAACTCCCGTTAAGACGCCGTTTAGAATGTCGGCATTTCGGCTGTTGGGCTGCCTTGACGTTTCCGATAATCCAAAAACCTGAAAGGGGTGCGACTCTCCCAAAATGTCGAGATTCAGAATGTCGAAATTTCGTGACGCCGAAATTTATAGTCGAAATTCATCATGTGTTAATACGATACACCCCGAATACCATGCAAAAAAAGACCACATACTGAATTTCGACATAACAAACCGTCGACATTCTGAATTTCGAGATTATGAAATTTCGGCATTATAATGGCAAGTCGCGGAGGATCTAAATACTGGAGCGAAAAGTGTCTCAAAAACAATTTTTAGTACCTGCATCAACCCATTCCTCTACCAATTCGGCTCGGAACGCAAAGCACACTGCTCGGCGAATTGCTCGACGTTAGAGAGCACCAATGGCGTACCGGGCGGCATCAAAGTTTATCAAAACCCCGCCTCCTCTTCTGGCGTCGCCAGAACCGAACCGAACCCCGGCCGGACCAGCCAAAAATAAGGATCGCTTCCTGTGCCCCAACCGGAAAACGTTTTCGGTTCATTAACCATCGATTCACATTTTATTACTGATTTACAGGGGAATTGCCTATTAAAGCTCTTTGTTGTGATCTCAATCCGTGTACCCCGTATTCATCCAAATCCTTTGAAAACCCCCGCTTTAGTGTATAGACCGCCCTTGTAAACCACATATCCTTGCTGTATATAAGCGTCAAAATGGACTATCATCGCAGCCACGGGTTGACTTGTGCTTTCCGTATCTTATGTTTCTGCATCGCTGGCGATCGAAATAAATTCTTAATTGGCTCGTCATCCAGTCACGAACTGCTTAAGTATTCTTTAAAAACCCATTTTCCCTTGTCGCAATGGACATAAATCCAAAAAATCCCATATAGCGGCATGACCGCTCTACGAGACTGAAGGCGGAGGGGCACAAACGCGCATTTTTCGAAATTTGGAAAATCATACTGTTTCAGCAAGTGGCCGCAAGGGAAAAGTCGCTCACCTGGAGTCCAGGCAGATGGTAAGAGCGGCCATCCAACGACAGCTTCGGTTTAATTACCCAAGTTTGAGGTTAGCATTAACCCCGAGACCTCCACGAGTGTCTCGAACAAATTTTGGAACGCATTTCCTTCGGGAGGTGCACAAATAACGCCAATGTGAAACGAATTCACGAAAATTCTTAATGTGGCTACGCAGCGCGTATGGTCGTTGTACGCAACTGTACGGTGAAGGGATTTACGCTACCTTTCGAGGCGTAACCGGGGCCATACGGGCATTTTCAATACGCAACTGAATTTGCAGCTGAACGAGCATCAAAAATAGCGCCGAACAAACTCTGGTACGAAGCCGGATGGGTATGGTTGCTATGATTTTTCGAAACTTGGAAAATCATACTGTTTCAGCAAGTGGCCGCAAGGGAAAAGTCGCTCACCTGGAGTCCAGGCAGATGGTAAGAGCGGCCATCCAACGACAGCTTCGGTTTAATTACCCAAGTTTGAGGTTAGCATTAACCCCGAGACCTCCACGAGTGTCTCGAACAAATTTTGGAACGCATTTCCTTCGGGAAGTGCACAAATAATGCCAATGTAAAACGACTTCACGAAAATTATGAATGTGGCTACGCAGCGCGTATGGTCGTTGTACGCAACTGTACGGTGAAGGGATTTACGCTACCTTTCGAGGCGTAACCGGGGCCATACGGGCATTTTCAATACGCAACTGAATTTGCAGCTGAACGAGCAGCATCAAAATTAGCGCCGAACATTCGAAGTGCGGATGGGTCGAACTCGGTGGATAGTTGATTTTCCTAGAAATACGAAATCATACTGTCGCCGCAATCGCCAGCAAGGAAAAGTCGCTGGCCTGATGAAGAAGCAGATGGTCGCCGAGCCAGCTGGTCCAGGGACACCTACATCGACAAGTTTCGGGCAACGTTAATACCAAGCCTAATGAAGCGAGTCTCATTTCTCCGATTTTTTCAAATTGTCAATTTCTCGTGCCCCACCCCACTTGAATCCAAAATCTTAATGGGATTATTGATTCGGGCACTTCTCAAAAATGCAAATGTAACCCGAAAATTCTAAATGTGGCTACGCAGCGCGTATGGTCGTTGTACGCAATTGTACGGTGAAGGGGGTTTTTTACGCTACCTTTCGAGGCGTACCCGGGGCCATACGGGCATTTTCAATACGCAACTCAATTTGCAGCTGAACGAGCATCAAAAATAGCGCCGAACAAACTCTGGTACGAAGCCGGATGGGTATGGTTGCTATGATTTTTCGAAACTTGGAAAATCATACTGTTTCAGCAAGTGGCCGCAAGGGAAAAGTCGCTCACCTGGAGTCCAGGCAGATGGTAAGAGCGGCCATCCAACGACAGCTTCGGTTTAATTACCCAAGTTTGAGGTTAGCATTAACCCCGAGACCTCCACGAGTGTCTCGAACAAATTTTGGAACGCATTTCCTTCGGGAAGTGCACAAATAATGCCAATGTAAAAAGACCTCACGAAAACCTTAATGTGGCTACGCAGCGCGTATGGTCGTTGTACGCAACTGTACGGTGAAGGGATTTACGCTACCTTTCGAGGCGTAACCGGGGCCATACGGGCATTTTCAATACGCAACTGAATTTGCAGCTGAACGAGCATCAAAAATAGCGCCGAACAAACTCTGGTACGAAGCCACATGGATTTTTTCAAAAACGGGCCGCGCGCTTCCGATCAATGTAAGCAGACCATTCGAAGCGCTTTGAAACGCTGATTCCGGGTTGCTAACTGGCTCGGACGTCACATCGCTCCTTGGCGCAACAGCAGCTCGAAGACCCCTAATCCTCAATTCAGCCAAATCGGGCGTTTCCGCATTCCGGACGCTATTTCGTAGCGGAATCGCAGGGCGGGCTTCACTGCTTGCTTCGCACCCGCCCCCCACCTGGCCCACTAGTGTGGAGGGGGTTCCCAGAGCTCTCCGCTGAGTAGGCCAACGATTGACCCTCAGCTTAGGCTTAGGCTTAGGCTTAGGCTTAGGCTTAGGCTTAGGCTTAGGCTTAGGCTTAGGCTTAGGCTTAGGCTTAGGCTTAGGCTTAGGCTTAGGCTTAGGCTTAGGCTTAGGCTTAGGCTTAGGCTTAGGCTTAGGCTTAGGACGAGCCCCCGGACTGGTATGCTTTTTTGGGCCAGCCGGATTTGTTGGGGCATTTTTTCTCGGCGCGTTGCACCGCTAGATACTTGGTTGTTGATTTTTGTTGGATCGGGCTACGAAGTTAGCCGTCCATAGCAGCCCTAGCCTAAGCACTACACCGAGAGATTTCCGGAACGGCGCCGGCTACCTTAGTTAGAATAGGGTGGTGGTCCCCAGGATGTGTCGTTGTTGCTGATGCTCCTCCCTCAACCTTCCCTCCCGTACGTAGAGTAGCTCTAGCATCTATCTGAGCTGCGATCTGCCGAGACCCTGCCTTGAATGCGACCTTTTTTACGACGAATTTCGCAATCATATCGACCCCCCCTAGATCAACCAGATATATCTGTGAGCGTATTTTTTGCTACCGAAAACCTATCTTCCGAGACCCCGGAGGCCCTGGTTTAATTGCTAGGATTTTTTTGAATGTTGCAACTAGGCAGCCCTCGTCGACCAGGCCTTCCAAGCCCGATTCCGCAAGAAATCGACCGTGCGAAATCGCTTTGATGTGAGCACCTGAAAGAGCACCCAAAATAATACCGAAAACAGTTTCTTCCGAAGCACCGGAGGCCCTGGTTTAATTGCTACGATTTTTTGAAACTTTTGGTTTTAATGGTTTACGACCAAAGGGGGGACCACATGGAATTTTTCGGAATTTACCAAAAAAATTTCGAGAAATTCATCACGCACTTCGATTTGGAGCTGAAAGAGCACCAAAAATAGTACCGAAAACAGTTTCTTCCGAAGCCCCGGAGGCCCTGGTTTAATTGCTAGGATTTTTTGAATGTTGCAAATAGGCAGCCCTCGTCGACCAGGCCTTCCAAGCCCGATTCCGCGAGAAATCGACCGTGCGAAATCGCTTTGATGCGTGCACCTGAAAGAGCACCAAAAATAGTACCGAAAACCGTTTCTTCCGAAGCCCCGGAGGCCCTGGTTTAATTGCTAGGATTTTTTGAAACTTTTATTTTTGATGGTTTGCGACTAAAGTGGGACCACATGGATTTTTTCAAAAACGGGCCGCGCGCTTCCGATCAATGTAAGCAGACCATTCGAAGCGCTTTGAAACGCTGATTCCGGGTTGCTAACTGGCTCGGACGTCACATCGCTCCTTGGCGCAACAGCAGCTCGAAGACCCCTAATCCTCAATTCAGCCAAATCGGGCGTTTCCGCATTCCGGACGCTATTTCGTAGCGGAATCGCAGGGCGGGCTTCACTGCTTGCTTCGCACCCGCCCCCACCTGGCCCACTAGTGTGGAGGGGGTTCCCAGAGCTCTCCGCTGAGTAGGCCAACGATTGACCCTCAGCTTAGGCTTAGGCTTAGGCTTAGGCTTAGGCTTAGGCTTAGGCTTAGGCTTAGGCTTAGGCTTAGGCTTAGGCTTAGGCTTAGGCTTAGGCTTAGGCTTAGGCTTAGGCTTAGGCTTAGGACGAGCCCCCGGACTGGTATGCTTTTTTGGGCCAGCCGGATTTGTTGGGGCATTTTTTCTCGGCGCGTTGCACCGCTAGATACTTGGTTGTTGATTTTTGTTGGATCGGGCTACGAAGTTAGCCGTCCATAGCAGCCCTAGCCTAAGCACTACACCGAGAGATTTCCGGAACGGCGCCGGCTACCTTAGTTAGAATAGGGTGGTGGTCCCCAGGATGTGTCGTTGTTGCTGATGCTCCTCCCTCAACCTTCCCTCCCGTACGTAGAGTAGCTCTAGCATCTATCTGAGCTGCGATCTGCCGAGACCCTGCCTTGAATGCGACCTTTTTTACGACGAATTTCGCAATCATATCGACCCCCCCTAGATCAACCAGATATATCTGTGAGCGTATTTTTTGCTACCGAAAACCTATCTTCCGAAGCCCCGGAGGCCCTGGTTTAATTGCTAGGATTTTTTGAATGTTGCAAATAGGCAGCCCTCGTCGACCAGGCCTTCCAAGCCCGATTCCGCGAGAAATCGACCGTGCGAAATCGCTTTGATGCGTGCACCTGAAAGAGCACCAAAAATAGTACCGAAAACCGTTTCTTCCGAAGCCCCGGAGGCCCTGGTTTAATTGCTAGGATTTTTTGAAACTTTTATTTTTGATGGTTTGCGACTAAAGTGGGACCACATGGATTTTTTCAAAAACGGGCCGCGCGCTTCCGATCAATGTAAGCAGACCATTCGAAGCGCTTTGAAACGCTGATTCCGGGTTGCTAACTGGCTCGGACGTCACATCGCTCCTTGGCGCAACAGCAGCTCGAAGACCCCTAATCCTCAATTCAGCCAAATCGGGCGTTTCCGCATTCCGGACGCTATTTCGTAGCGGAATCGCAGGGCGGGCTTCACTGCTTGCTTCGCAC